AATATGTGATATGTGCAATTTGTTTCCATTACCAACTGAAATTTTTTCCTTACCAGAGTATTCATTTGCTGAATTCAGATTTTCTATCTCAGCAGTGACATGGTGACTTGCTCTTGTGTCTGCGAACCAGACAGGTTCACTTACGATACTGGGAGATGCCACGAAAGCTGAGAGTGATAAGCTGTGATTGTTTCCTTGGTATGGTGGATTTCCTTTATAGCGTTCATCATATCTGAAATGGCATACATTTGCCTTATGTCCAATCTTTCCACAAACGTGGCAGATGGTTTTGTCACTGCTGTTGAAGCCATTGAATTGTTGAAGCCATTTCCCATATACCTTCCTCTTCTTCCTCCTCTACTGAACCTTCCTCCATTGTTTGGCCTATAGGCTCTTTGATAGCTGTTGTTTGCTCCTGTTTTTTGAGTGAGGTTTGATGTGTGATTGAGATTAATTTCTCCCATTTCATTCCTGGGTGCATTGAGATGTTCAAGCTTACTTTCGAAGGTTATAAGTGTTGATTGAAGTTCTCCCCAAGAGATGAAGTCTTTGCTGTTGATTTGAACCACAATAGGTGTGTATTCTTCATCCAGACCAGGTAGGACTTGAGTTATAAGATCTGAGTGAGGGATGACTTTTCCAGCAATCTCCAGATTATCTGCCAGAAGTTTAACTTTATTGAGATATTGATCGATGCTGAGTGTTCCTTTTCTTGACTTCTGAAGTTCTCTAGTGAGAAAGGTAATCCAGGATTTGTTTTGGATTCCATAACTCTCTTTTACTGCAGTCCATAGCTTACTAGAGTTGCTGCAACCCATTATCCTCATGGCTATGTCTGGGGTCATAGATGAGTAGAGCCAGCCCATTAGCAACTGATCTGTTGACCTCCATTGATCATACTCACGATTTTTCTTTATTTCAGCTATCACTTCTGCATCACCAGAGATCTGGGTGCTGATGAATTCTGGAGGACACTCCTTTGTCCCTAGAATATACTCTTCCAGGTTATGTCCTCTTATGATGGGGAGGATCATATTTTGCCATAGCAAGAAGTTATTTTTGTCAAGCTTGATAGATAAGGTTTGAGTGAGATAAACACCAGTTTGGGAGAAATTGTAGCTTGCCTGCACTAGAGGCATCATTGTGCTCGATCCAGCAAGAGCAGGGG